TATGACCTTTTTTCCCATTTTGCTGTTAATTTTTCCAAAGTTTTTTTTTACAGTGCCCAATTTGCAGTTTCATATGTTACACCCGGAAATCTAGGCAAAAAAAGAACTAATTAATGATGTGTTTTGTTTGCTGGGTGCATATTGAACCATATATTAGCTTGTTGAATTGTTAGTTGCTTCCATGTTTAACTAATGTAAGGCAAGCAACTGTGGGTTAAGTTAGTTGGACCGCCTTTTTCGCGTAGATTCAGAATAGTTTGGAATTAACATTTGTTTTCATGTTTTTATATTCTCTGTACGGCTTGTATTCGAGATGCTTTAAACTGTTGATCCGGTGGCAGGTTCATATGTGCAATAAGCTTGCTAGCCGGCATGTTCGGGTTGGTCTTGCAGCTCCCAGTGAAGTTCCCCGCTGCGACATTTGTGAAATGCACCTGGTATGCAGACCTATTTTGCGATTCTATCGATTCCCTGCTGATATATGTCTTAATGTTGTTTGAAAGAAAGAAAAGAAAATTAACGACGCTTGTTCTATCTTCCTGGAAACTACTTGTAGCTTTCTTTTGTTGCGAGATAGATGGAAGTTCCCTGTGTTTGCAATGTGATTTGATTGTTCATGTTGGAGGCAAAAGAATGCATGGAAGATATCTTGTACTGAGACAAAGAGTTGAGGTGGGTTTGTTGATCCTACTTACTAAGAATTGGATTATTTTACTTTTACATAGGTGTTGCGGATGACTTAAATGTTTTACACTGTTTGGTTGTTTTGTAGTTTCCAGGAGATAAACCTGGTAATATTGAGGACCCAGCTTCCCAACCCACTGATCCAGGCGAGAGCAGAAGAGTACAACAACCCCATCCACCTAGAATGACAATAGGAGAGAACCTGCAAAATCATCGGGTGTCTCCTATTCGTGCTTCAGATGCCAATGCTGATGAGCATGTAAAGATGGATAATAAATTGATTGATTTGAACATGAAGCCTCATCGGATGCATGGACAAGCTTCAAACAAAGAGGTTAGAGTGCTTTCATTATTTAGTACTATCAGTTTGATCCTAGCTCTGTTTTTGTTTTAGCATGTATCTCAACCCTGCAAATGGAACATTGTCACATTCGTATGGAATGCATCCCATCTGTAATTCACTTGGGGGGGAACAATTTCACAAGGTCTGGGTCATAGTTGCTTATTAGGGACGTGAGCAAAGTGGTTAATAAATTGCAAAAGTTTGTAATGTATGTGCAGCTAAACTAAGAACACAAGTCGGTTTACTTCATAAGCTAAGAAATTGAAGCCAGAAAGGCAGTTAAAATAGGAACTGCTAAGTTGAGAATTGCCATCTTTGTGTCTGAGAAGAAAAGAGTTTGCATTTTCTATATATCTATTTGCATTTCACAAATGTATAATAGACACAGCTTGTACTCAAGTCCGTCTTTCGGATATCATGAGAGCAATATGTGGTCATTAGAGAAATCACACTTCTGTGTTTTTGTGTCGATTATCCGATTTTAGTTACTCACACTTCCAAGTTACCATTGTTCTACAACCTTGCGCATAGCTCAACAGAACACATTCTCTCTATTGATACTTGAATCTCTTGAGCTAGATCAGTGCATAACCTGTTGGCTTTTCGTATTTTTCAGGACTAGTATCGGCGTATCTGGAAGCATCGGCTGGCGCAGATTACTTCACTAGCTAGTCGTAAAAAGGGTGCTTCCTGTATACCTTTCTTATATTGCTGCTTTATGTAAAACTGTAAAATGGGCATTTGATCATTATGTAGTTTAGTTGTGTAGAGGATATAATAGTAAAAAAGTATCCATGACTTTGCTTAACAAAAAACACATTTTTGTAATTGCTTCACTTGTATATGCAAAAACTGAGGACCTTCATGTAATCGATAGTTTTAAAAGTTCTTGTTCAATTATGAGAAAACGGTTTGAATAACATTATTCAACGTTATTTTTATTCAGAAGTAGGCTTGTTTGGGATGGTTGACCCTAGAAATTAAAAAGCCTACATTGCGCGCAAATCAAGTAATTACTGAGCTAATTACGTCCTTTTATTGATGGGGCATGCTAACTTGCGACCAAGCTCGGTTAGACGGGTATAATAGTTGTGATGGTGTGGTGTCGAACCTACTGTTGACTTCTGCACTGAGTGACTACGGTGGAGGAAGGAACACTCTTAGCCTAGGGTTTTCGAACCTGAAGACAAGGTTATTCAAGGGAGATGAATGTCTTTATGGTGAATATTGTTTGGCTGTTTGAATGCCAAACTCTGAAGTGCACTTGGGAGTAACCAATCATAGAACATCTCATTTCGTTGAAAAGCTAATGAAGTGACCTCGTTCGGTGATAGAATCAAAGACTCCTTGTCGACACCAATGGAACTCAAAGCAATATTAATGTAAACTGAAGATGCTCCTAGATCGCTTGATTCCACGATTCTAGTGATGTTAATCCAAACTGAATATGTTTCCGATTCCCAACATAGTGCTATTAATACAAACTGAAGATGTGTTATGCGTTGACGAACAGTGAGGAATATTAGTATTTTTGTCAGAGTGCGAGAAGGTCTCACGTAGAACAAGGGTTTCTGTCTAGAGCATTGAGTTGAAAAGGCTTTCTACGTCACAGAACTACTTCCATTTATAGGGGTAGATTTTGTGATGACCAAGCTTGCTGAAGTAGAGTCCTGATAGGACTATGCCTCATCGGCACCCACCTGGATATCCTTGACATTCTCTGTACAATCCTCTTTTGTAACCGAAATTCAATCTCTATTTGGTCTCGGCTTCTTTGACTTGAAACAGAATTCTAAACTTAATCCTTTACATAATTAATTTATTCACATCTGATCAGCCATAGGTTTTGATTTTTGAATTAATTTCAATTCAACCAAAACTTAGACAAACTTAAGATTCTTGCGGCATTGCTCAACCTCTGAGTCTGTTACATTTATGAGGAATGAACAAGTAGAAGCTGTTAATAGTGATTGGTTGGCGGCCATTTTTATGATATTATGCATAGATCCGATATATCATGGCAAATTCTTTAGAAAAAAAAATCGTGAGATTTAGGCATGCCTTCATTTCTCACATTCGAGATGATCCCACCAAAGGAGAGATTTGTTTGAATTGAAATATGCCTTCTCTCACTGAGCCATGCCTAAGTTGATCCCTTAGTAATCCCACTTCCATTAGGACTCGATCGAATCATCATTCTTTGGGCTGAGAAAGTTACATGGCTTGAAGGATCACCATTGGCCAAGAGTCATGACCTTCTTGAATTATTCTTCTCGGGCCAAATTGAACATTTCAGGATCAAACAGGTATTTTTCTTGAATCAAATTTTTTGCTTTTGAAATTAATGAGTGGTTATGTGCACACCCAAATTTCATCTCTGAATACCTAATTTACTCTCACACATATCTTTGGACACCAAAATAATTTATTAAATTTTCAAGGATGCCTTTTTCTACTTTTTATGAATTTATTTTTCTCTGGACACCCATTTTCTTGCGCTCTAAATGCTTCAAAACCTTCCTCACATGAAGGAAGTATAATCTCTCTTGCAAGGGCACGACACTTTTTTTTGTTTTTTTGTCAAACCAGAAATTATTACATGAAATAGAAAACTCAAAGGTCGTCTAAATACAACCATAGCCCAAGAGGAAATACAATAGAAAGGCCCAAAAAGAGTAAGCCTACAACAACAAAAACCTAGATCTGGATGAATGTTGCCTCCTCCACAATGGATGTGCCACCATTGCCGATCTGCCACCACCGGCAAGAGGAATGACCCGCGAACAAGCATGGTCATAGCAAATAGTGCTAAGAGCACTTTAACAACCACCGAACACCCGAGTAGTGACATGCGATGGGCCGAGTAGCAAAGGTCAGTGGTGGAGGACTGATGACTGGAAGCAACAGAGGAGGAAAAACGTATAAAAGCCCAAATTTGAGGCAAGTTTGAGGAGATTGAGACAAGCTCATGAAAATTAAAAATTAAGGAGGTTATCGGAATCAAGGGAGAGAAACAAAACAGGGAAACTAAGAAGAGAGGAGTCTTAATAAGTGGGAGGAGGGCAAATAAGATGGGAGGGAGGGGAGTAAGTGGGAGGGGCAAGACAAGATGAGAAGGAAGGAGGAGGATCAAAGCGAGGGTTAGCAGGCTAGAGAGGAGAAGGAAAACGAAGAAGAGCAAAAGGGTTGCCAGCCGACTCCAAGAAAAGAAAGGAGTCAACAACCAAAGATAGGGGATTTTTTTGGGTAGGCGGTGGCGGGTTGGGTTACGAGGGTTCTGTGCGAGAGAGAAAAGGGCAGGGGTAAAACCCCGTTTGAAATTTGTTCATTACATTGCAGTGCTTGCCGTAACAGCAAGGTGTATGACGTGAGTACAATGAAAAAAGAGAGTAAACCTTATGAACCTTGTCAAACCAATCCGATGACTAAACTCCAAAAATTAGGATGAAATGAATGTTTATATGAAAAGAAAAAAAATCTATGGATATTACCGTCTGGATTTGGTGTATCAGTCCAACAAGGCAACAAGGTTCTTGCAAAATATGGTTTATCAAATACCATCACAAAGAATGTTAAGAATCGAATAAAAAATGACAAAATTTACTTTTTCGTATTCAAGATATCATAGTTGTTGCTATGTTCTTCCATTCTACTATAGAGTTTCAAAGAAGCGTTATAAAGTGAAATTTAGAAAAGTACGGTAAAGTGAAATTCAAAATTCTATGGGTGTCCAAACAAAATAATTTTTTTTTCTTAAAAAAATCACTAAGTGTCCTATTTAACTGAATAATTAGAGAGAGGTGCGGGCGGTGAAGAGAGAGAAAAATTGATGAATTCTGAGGTGTATATTATCTCACCTGATTATTTCTTATTTAGTAAAAGAGAATTTTTGTTTTTAAAGTAATATAACTGAAATAGAAAACAATTCAAAAATAAAAGGACAACAAAATTTTAGAGAAGTAAATTAACAACCTTTTACTAAATATGCCGATATTTTCTTTCAATTTACTTCTTAGTTCTCACCAATGACTAAAATATCGATAATATCAGTGAAATATCGCCAATATTATCGTTTATCAGAGAAACCGATATTTTCCCACGTATTCTCTAATTGTCGTCAAAATATCACAATAATTGTCGTCAAAATATCGCAATATTATCGATATTATCGATAATATCGCGATATATTCAATATTATCGAAACAATCTCGTGGCTCCGTCATCGGAAAGGCAGCCAAGGCTGCATCATTTGGATCGCCTCCCGGACTTGCTCTGTCGCTCATCCTCCAGATCTTTGACATCGCCGGAGCTTACCGGATTCTGCAGAGAAGATGTAGAAATTGTCCAGGGTTAGAATCAGTTCTATTCCTTCACCAAACTAAATCAAAACCCTCCAGAATTGATGGAAATATTCAGAGGTTAAGAATAGAAATAGAAATAAATCTGAAACGAAAGCACATGCATGTGTTAGATCTCGCTCTATTTCAGTCCAACACATAAATCTGAAACGAAAGAACAAAAAAAAATTAACACTCATGGAGGAGGGATTTACCTTCATGCATCTCAGTTTTCATGATTATAGAGACGCAGAGGTGTGTATGTTGTTGGGCTTCAGGTTGCAGACAATAATGAAGAGCTATGAGAGATAGTGGAGCTGTTGTGAGAGAGAAGGTTGTAAGAATGGGCGTTGGGCTTGAGGTTGGAGAAATGATAGCATCTCTCATATTCTAGAAAGAGAGTGAGAGAGTGAGAGAGTGGTTGGGAATCTGAAAAGCATCTCCTTTTTCTTTCTACACGGGTTGGTTTGAAAATGAGAGTGGCTCATGGCTCAAGGCAATTGAAAGGGGATCCAATGTTTCAACACATGCTAGAACAAAAACATTAATGTTCTTTTTCTTTTGTTGAACAAAATTAAAATTTTTTTGGATTGTGTTTAGTTTGCGGATCTATTTTCTGTAACAAAAAAATGGTGATAATTAATCTCGGATCCATATGGGTGGCATGTTAACAATTACATGCAAAACTATTTTGGGGATTTATCATTTGATGACTACTCTTCACAATACACTTACTATATATATATAGATAATGAAGATAGTCAAAATTTTGAACCTCATAGGAACTCTATGTGGTACTAAGTCACTCATGTATCTTACCATGCAATGTATAAAGTGTAAAATATTGTACTAATTCATTATATATAAATGATTATGGTGTGTTTAAACTTCTTTCATTAATTACTACATATTTTCTACACTCATAATGTTTGCCAGCTCGCTATATAATCAACTTGATAATGTTAAATCCATCATGCAATGCATTTCCTTCCAATGTTTTGTAATAAACTAATAGATAATTGACTAAATAAACATCTTGCAAAGTTTCAATAAAAATTTTCAAGTTTTTCTTACAATTTCCGTGGTTTCCATATTATTTTTATCGATATCGATAATATCCCGATATTTCCATCGATATTTCCGTGTTTTCGGACTACCGATATTTCCGATATCATCGATATTTAATACCTTGGTTCTCATCCTTCAGGCTTTCTCCTTCGCAACTCCAAAATTTCAAAAATGAGTAAATTGTAGCAATAGTCCTTTAACTTTAATTAAATTGGAACAATAGTCTTTCAACTAAAAACCCATTACCATTAGTGTCTCAACTTATCAAAATGTATAGGTATGGTCATTTTTGTCAACTTCGTCAAAATTTTATTAAAATAAGTTATGTTGGAATGATCATTACTATAATTGGAATCCCTCAACTCATCAGAACATGTAGCTATAGTATTTTTTTTGTCAACTTCGTCATAATTTTGTCAAAATGAGTTATGTTAGAATGACCATTACTACAATTGGGTTAAAGTTGATGGACTATTGCTTTAATTGGATTAAAGTTGAGGGATCATTTCTCAAGTTAGATTAAAGTTGAGGAACCAATAGTAATGAATTTTTAGTTGAAAGACTATAGTTGCACGTTTTGATGAGTTGATGGCCAAAGGTAATAGATTTTTAGTTTAAGGATCATTGTTTCAATTGAGTTAAAGTTCAATGATCATTGCTAAAATTTAGTCTTTCAAAAAAAAGACAAGTTAACTATTCACTGCTGACACGTGCCAATATTGTATGTGAACACATGCACAGCATGCATGACTGCTAGTTGCTGCAAACTTTCACAGACCAGCCACCGGTGCACCGCCGCCAATCAACCATCCCGAGTTCCAATGCCGACGTCGTCTTCGTTCTCGCTCTTTCTAACGACGATGCTCTGGACGCTTGCTTCTGCCTTTATGAATCCCCGAACTTTTCTTCAGCTGGGGAGCTCGTCCGGAGCCAGAGGCACTGGCAATTACTTGACGACGGAGGAGTTCTGGTTCGATCAGACTCTCGACCACTTCTCGCCCTACGACAGCCGCAAATTCCCGCAGCGCTACTACGAATTTCTCGACTACTTCAGAACGCCTGACGGACCCATTTTTCTCAGAATTTGCGGAGAAGCCGCGTGCAGCGGCATTGCTAACGATTACCTTAGTGTAAGTTCTAATTTTTCAAATTTTTGTGGAAAATTTGTAAATTTGTAAATGTGGAAGAAAGATTGGATTTTTGGGAATTTAATTGAAGTCCCATTGTGCAGGTGTTGGCTAAGAAGTTTGGGGCAGCTGTGGTTTCGCCTGAGCATCGATACTACGGAAAAAGCTCTCCTTTCAAATCGCATACAACGGAGAATTTGAGGTACTTGTCATCCAAGCAAGCTCTTTTCGATTTGGCGATTTTTCGTGAGTTTTACCAGGCAAGCCCCATTTGTGAAGTTTATGAATTTGGTAGATATTTTACCGAATTGAGCATGTTATTTAGTGTTTTCTTTTTATATTTTATTTTGTGTGATTATTTGTAGAATTCATTAAATGTGAAGCTGAATAAGACCAAGGGTGAAAATCCATGGTTTGTGTTTGGTGTTTCGTATGCGGGAGCTCTTAGTGCGTGGTTTCGGGTTAAATTCCCGCATTTGACATGTGGAAGTGTTGCAAGTTCTGCTGTTGTTGGAGCTGTTTATAACTTCACTGAATTTGACCAGCAGGTGATCACTGTGTTAATTTGGCATTTTCTCCTTTAAGGCAAAAGAATGAGATTGTAGTCGCTTAACTACAACACTCTCCGAATGCAGGTTGGTGAGTCTGCAGGTCCACAATGTAAAGCTGCACTGCAAGAAACTAATCGTCTTGTTGAACAAAGGCTTGCTACTAACCGGAAAGCAGTAAAGGCGTCGTTTGGTGCAACGCAGGTTGGATTTTTCATCCTTTTTAGTCACCATTAGTAAATCTGAATCATGATGTACTTCGAAGCACAATCCGGATTCATGCCCGTAGGAGTTTCTTCTTCACTTCTCACCTTGCATCTTGACCTTAAGTTTGTGTGCAGCTTGATATTGATGATGATTTTATGTATTTTCTGGCCGATGCTGCTGTTACAGCGGTAAATGTTACTTCTTTCTTAGTTTTGTCACTCAGTTTACACTCTATCGAACTGGTGGTGATTATTTGTTTAATAATTTGCAGTTTCAATCCGGAATTCCGGATAAGTTATGCTCCCCTCTTGTTCAAGCAAAGACAAATGAAGAGGATTTGGTGGTATGTTCCTCTTCTCACTTTTCCATTTGGTTCTTTAATTGAAATAATCTTGGTCCACTGTGCTCTATATGTAATCACACAGTTATGTTCTATAATGAGCCCTTGGTTACTGAGCTTGTCTTACGGGCAGCATGTTTACCTTGCATTGTCCAAATAAATAACCCCTTTATGTCAAATCTCTAACTTCAAACTTAGCAGTAGTATGAAAATTTCATGCGCATTTCCTCTGGTATTCATAGTGTACGCTGTATAATATTTTCATTTTAAACTTCAGTGAAAAGTAAGAATGATGGGGAAAAAAAAAAAAAACTATTTCATAACTTGTAAGCCGTGCCAATAATCGTGGTTCTTGGACTTAAGCTTTATGAAGATGCCTATATCAAGCTTCTCTAGTTGTGTAATGTTGCTAATGGCAAAAACTTAATCTTCTTGCAGGAAACATATGCTAGATACGTTAAAGATCATTATCTGGGAAGTTTTGGTGTTGATATCGAAACATATAATCAGAAGCACTTGAAGAATACTGCTATTAGTGAGGGCAGTTCTGATAGATTGTGGTGGTTCCAAGTTTGTACTGAAGTTGCATATTTTCAGGTGGCACCTGCAAATGATAGCATCCGGTCTTCAAAAATTGACACAAGGCATGTTTCTGAAAATATTTTTGATCTAAATACTATTTTTCTACTTATGCTTTTTCTACAGACCTGTAGAATGTTCAACTCGGTAGCTCCTGTACGCATCTCTGATTGATAGTATGACATCGTTGCAGATACCATTTAGACCTTTGCAAGAGTGTTTTCGGAGAGGGCATCTATCCTGATGTTGTTGCAACAAATCTATACTATGGAGGCAAAAAAATTGCAGGTCAAGGACATTGATCTCTCTTTGCCTATCTATATGTTTTCCTAGTAATTACATATTACTATTTCAGTAGCATAAGTTCTATCTACCCTTTCATCTTGGCCCTCAACCTTATCCCTTCTCCTCCTGCCCTGCTGCCTACCAGAAAACCCCTAATAGCTGAAGGCATTTCTTGTTGGGGCATAAAAAGACTTCACTACTTTGGAGATGTTTATCTCACAAAGAAGAATGTAATGCAGCGGAATTGATAGGCAAGAGAAAGAAAGAATACTCAAGGTATTACACAAGATTTTTATTCACTCACAAACTTATTACAAGAGGAAACACTCAAACGCTCTTAGAAGTTTTGTTGCTTCTTCTCACTTCTCACTACTTGCTCTCTTGGTTGTTTCAAATGGTGTGGATGCCTTCTCCTTTTATAGGCATGGATGGAACCTTGGAGAAGCATGGAAGCATCATGCTAGAGATATCTAGATAATTCCACTACCTTCCTAAGTTAGAATTATCTACATTAATCTTGTATGTTGGTGGAATCCTCACCATTCTTCTAGACTCTTCCACCAACTTGAACTTTGCTAGAATTCTCTAGCATGTGCATGGTTCTTTCTTTGTGTATGGACCGGATCAATTGTCTTGGGCGAAGACAAGATTACATTTCAACATCCCCCCTTAATCTTGTCTTGTGACGCCGATTGATTTCCTCAATCTAACAAAGTCTTTTTGTTTGAGTGGCTTGGTGAATATGTCAACGACTTGGTCTTGAGACTTCACGTATTCCACTTGCACATCATTTCTTGCAATACACTCTCTTATGTAATGATAGCGGGTATCTATGTGTTTGCTCCTGTCATGGAATACTGGATTCTTTGCTAAAGCTATTGCAGACTTGTTGTCGACATAGATCTCTGTTGGCTCTTCTTGTGTAATACTTTGAGTATTCTTTCTTTCTCTTACTTATCAATTCCGCTACGTTACATTCTTCTTTGTGAGATAAATATCTCCAAAGTAGTGAAGTTTTTTTAAGCCCCAACAACTAGAAGAATGGTGAGGATTCCACCAACATACAAGCTTAGTGTAGATAATTCTAGCATAGGAAGGTAGTGGAATTATCTAGATATATCTAGCATGATGTTTCCATGCTTCTTCAAGGTTCCATCCATGCCTATAAAAGGAGAAGGCATCCACACCATTTGTAACAACCAAGGGAGTAAGTAGTGAGAAGTGAGAAGAAGCAACAAAGCTTCTAAGAGTGTTTGAGTATTTCCTCTTGTACTAAGTTTGTGAGTGAATAAAAATCTTGTGTAATACATTGAGTGTTCTTTCTTTCTCTTGCCTATCAATTCCGCTGCATTACATTCTTCTTTGTGAGATAAACGTCTCCAAAGTAGTGAAGTCTTTTTAAGCCCCAACAAAGTGGTATCAGAGCTATGGCTAGCAACGCTATGGCAGCCTTCCAAGTTCCAGTGCTCGACAACAACAACTTCGATAATTGGAGTATCAAAATGAAGGCCCATTTGGAAGCACATGATGTATGGGAAGTCGTGGTGAAAGGCTACACTGAGCCAGAAGATGAAGCTACTATGTCCCAACCCCATAAGGAGAGTTTGGAATATTCAAGAAAGAGAGACAAGAAGGCTCTCTACCTAATCTACCAAGCATTAGATGACAATGACTTTGAGAAGGTCTCGAGTGCAACCTCTGCCAAGCAAGCATGGGAAAAGCTTCAAACCTCTTACAAAAGAGCCGAACAAGTGAAAAAGGTTCGTCTTCAAGTACTAAGAGGTGAGTTCGAATCTCTACAAATGAAAGGGTCTGAATCAATCTCTGATTATTTTTCAAGAGTCTTAGCTGTTTCCAATCAATTAAAAAGAAACGGAGAAAAGTTAGAAGATGTTAGAATTATGGAGAAGATACTACGCTCGTTGGACCCCAAGTTCGAGCACATTGTCGTGATGATTGAAGAAACTAAAAACTTGGAAGAAATTAGTATAGAGCAATTAATGGGTTCGCTACAAGCATATGAAGAGAAACATAAAAAGAGGCAAGGGAATGATAAGCAGCTCCTCAAGACGAATGTTCAGCCAAAGAAGAAAGAAGAAAGCTTCGATAACGAGAGAAACCAGTATGAAAGAAGTGGTGGTCGAGGACGCGGACGTGGACATGGACATGGACGTGGTTGGAACTTCAACAACCATAGCAACTACGAAAGAGGAGGAAGCTCAACAAAAGGTCGTGGAAGAGGGCGCTCAAACTTGAGGTATGAAAACTCTCAAGTTCAATGCTATAACTGTCAAAAGTTTGGGCATTATGCTTAGGAATGTAGAGCTCAAAGCAACAGACTTGATGAGAAGGTCAATTATGTGAAAGAAGAGAAAGAAGATAATGGCATTGTTCTACTAACATGCAAGAATAATGATGGAGACCAAGACTATACATGGTACCTTGACACCGGTGCCAGCAACCACATGTGCGGAAGAAAAAGCATGTTCGTAGAGCTCAATGAATCGGTGAGTGGCAAAATTTCTTTTGGAGACAAATCCAAAATACCCGTCAAAGAAAAAGGTAACATCCTAATTCCCCTGAAAAATGGCGGTCACCAATTAATTTCAAATGTCTACTATGTGCCCAATATGAAAAGCAACATTTTGAGCTTGGGTCAACTCTTAGAAAAAGGTTATGATATTCACATGAAAAATTATAGCCTTTTTCTTACAGATGACAAAGGAAGATTAATTGCCAAGGTGAAAATGTCAAAGAATAGAATATTTCCTATGAATATTCAAAATGATGTTGCAAAGTGCCTCAAAACATGTTACAAAGACACCTCCTGGCTTTGGCATCTTTGTTTTGGGCATCTTAACTTTGGGGGACTGGAGTTATTATCCAAGAAGGAGATGGTGAGAGGCTTACCATGCATCAGTCGCCCTGATCAAGCTTGCGAATGATGTTTACTTGGGAAACAGTTCAGGAAAAACTTTCCAAATGAGTCGACCACAAGAGCCCAGAAGCCACTCGAGCTCATTCACATTGATGTGTGCGGTCCAATAAAACCAAGCTCTTTGGGTAAAAATAATTATTTCCTTCTCTTCATTGATGATTTTTCAAGGAAAACCTGGGTATATTTCTTGAAGCAGAAATCAGAAGTCTTTAGAGTATTCAAGAAGTTCAAAGCTGCTGTAAAGAAAGCAAGTGGTTGCAAGATCAAAGCCATAAGATTTGATCGAGGAGGAGAATTCACTTCGAAGGAATTTCAAGAATTCTGTGAAGCCAATTGAATTCGTCGACCTTTGACGGTTCCAAGATCCCCTCAACAAAATAGTGTGGCGGAAAGAAAAAATCGAACCATCCTCGACATGGCTCGAAGCATGCTTAAAAGTAAGAGATTGCTTAAAGAGTTGTGGGCAGAAGCTGTAGCATGTGTTGTTTACCTATCAAATCGGTCTCCAACAAAAAGTGTGTGGGGAAAGACTTCGCAAAAAGCATGGAGTGGAAGAAAGCCAGGTATCTCTCATCTAAGAGTTTTTGGAAGCATAGCCCATGTACATGTACCAGATGAGAGGAGGATGAAACTCGACGACAAAAGTCAAAAGTTCATCTTCATCGGTTATGACTCAAATTCAAAAGGTTATAAGCTGTATAATCCAAACAATGGGAAAACGGTGATTAGTCGAAACGTGACGTTCGATGAAGAAGGACAATGAGATTTTGGCTCTCATGCAGGTGATCTTCACTTCTTTCCTCAATTTGAAGAAGAGAATGAACAAGGGATGATGGAGCAAGCAAGAGAGGTTCAACAAGAATCCACTACTCCACCTGCTTTACCAACATCAACCAATCATGGAAATTCACCAGCATCAGCATCGTCAAGTGGGAACCTAAATGAAAGAGAAGTACCACGCACAAGAAGTCTACGAGATCTCTATGAGGTAGCTGAAAAACTTGATAATCCTACACTTTTCTATCTCTTTGCTAATTGTGAACCAGTTGACTTCCAAGAAGCAGTGCAAGATACTAAGTGGATGAAAGCAATGAATGAAGAAATTGAAGCAATCCATAAAAACAATACATGGGAACTCGCTATTCTTTCGAAATGACACAAAGCCATCGGAGTCAACTGGGTGTATAAGACAAAGAAGAATGCCAACGAAGAGGTCGAAAGATACAAGGCTAGATTAGTGGCGAAGGGCTATAGTCAAAGAGCTGGAATCGACTTTGATGAGGTATTTGCACCCGTTGCTCTGTTGAAAACTATACGATTACTAATTTCTTTGGTAGCTCAAAACAAATGGAAGATTCAACAAATAGATGCGAAGTCCGCTTTCCTAAATGGAGTTATTGAAGAAGAAGTCTACATTCAGCAACCATTAGGCTATGAAATCAAAAGGCATGAAGATAAAGTTCTGAAGCTAAAGAAAGCCCTCTATGGGTTAAACCAAGCGTCACGAGCATGGAATAGTCGCATTGACAAGTACTTCCAAGAAAATAACTTCACCAAGTGCCCTCATGAACATGCTCTCTACGTCAAAGTCAAAGATGGAGATATTCTAATTGTGTGCTTATATGTGGATGATCTAATCTTCATCGGAAGTAATTCAAGTATGTATGAAGAGTTCAAGAGAGTGATGACCAAAGAATTCGAGATGACCGACATCGGGTTGATGGCATACTACCTAGGCATTGAAGTCAAGCAGAACAAAGAGGGCATTTTCATCTTCTAAGAAAGCTACACAAAGGAGATACTAAAAAAGTTTAAAATGGAAGACTGCAAGCCCATAAGCACGCCAATGGAGTGCGGAGTCAAACTAACCAAGCATGACGAAGGAGAAGTGTAGATCCAACATTTTTCAAGAGTTTAGTTAGAAGTTTGTGCTACTTGACATGCAAGACTAGAAATTCTCTATGCCGTCGAATTAGTCAGTCGCTGCATGGAGAATCCCGCAACTACACACTTGAAGACCGCCAAAAGAATGCTTCGATACCTTAAAGGTACTGTTAACTTTGGC